ACCCCTTTCCCAGGCGACTAATTATAACTAATTCATTATTTCTGACTTCAATAAACGCAGTATCCTTACAAAGAGAAATAATTTTGACCTTTTAACAATCAACGTTTTGAGGAAGTTGCCGAAAAAAATTCACCTGATCGCAGATAACTTGCTCATTAAGCACTGCACTCTCCTGCCCCCTTCCGCCGCAATTCCATTCGAAAAAAAAAAAAAAGGAAAAAAGGCCGCCCTATCGCAGGTTATAAACCACCTGTTCGACATGGAACTACTTCGATGATTCAGATAACGTTTTTACCTACGGGAGTTTGTTAGTTGCCTATTGGATTGAATAAAAATATCGCTTTTCACGAGAATTGGCAAAGCGCTTTAATAACAATGCGGCCCGCCTTTAATTAGTGCGCTATAGTTAACTCTATCGCACCTTGGCATTTACTTCACGCACCTAACCATTTAATTGACAGCAGCTGAAATCTACAAGTGACTCAAGCATTCCCAAAGCTAAATGTGTTGACCAATCACAGCTGCCTAGCTCTAGGCAAGGAAATTGATATTCCGATAGTTGATTAACTGGGCACTGTAAATCAATGTCGCAAAAGACAATAACATTGTGCGCGATGCAAGACCACCGAAAGTTTAAATACCCTTTAAATTGCGTACGTTTTTGAACTAGTGAAATTCTTCTACTCTGTGCACTGAAAGTAATATGCAGCCAAAATGATCACAAAATAACATTGTACATGTACTTACTGCAAACTTATTTTGCGCTAATATTACAATGTAGCATAGTTTTTAAATAAATATGTTTAAAAATAATCCTTACGCTTTGATTGTTGATGTCAAAGCATGGCTATATGCATCTTTCCCTGATGCTTCTCGGACAAAAAAGTGGTTTTAAACGTCCCCTCTGTGGGCAACATTTCTAAGGGGCAGTTTTAGACACCACTACGCGGTTCAACTGGCAAACCTGCCGAATAAACGAGGTTATGTTGGTCTTACGCGCACCTGACAACCAGGAACGTGCGGCAGACCCTTACTGGGGCAATGTGACTGAGAAACTATCAGAAGTGCTATTTAGCTTCCCGCAGACGGGAAGGGTTTCACCATGATGGCGGCCCACAGTGTTAGAGCCCCTTGTTGACATCAATGAAATGAAGTAATTTTTCGTGGACGCGTAAAATGCTCCTTATTGGGATCTGGGAGGGGGGAGATATCAGAGGGGGATCCCATGGTTTTAAGGGGGCAAGGTTGGGGATCAGTCGTCACCAACAAAGTAAAAAAGGAGGACTAGAAAATTTCGGATAAAACCGTTGCGCAATTTGTCAACAGGAAACGATGATGTCGCTAGTCGTGTTCAAATCAATTTGCATCGTATCTAAATAAATAAAAAGACATCGTAAAATGCACCAAACCAAACCTATTCTACCATTATAACATCCTCCCTGTGTCTTTCTCATAGAAACTTGGACAAGCACAAGGGGGGGAGGGAGAGGAATGAGTCAATTCGCTCGAGACCAGCAAAATTCTAATTCCTACATACATATATACATCGTTCGAGTTTAATAGTAGCGTAGTGGTGCTAGTTTCTCAGAGCAAAGAAACTGTTTAAGTGAGTAAATAAGTAAGTTTTATTCATTGAAAACATTAATTCAATTTCATAATTATATTACAATAAATAAAACTATTGAATAGAGGATATTACATGGCCGCTTGGGTATACGATTTTTATCTTCGAGTGCTGAAAGTGTCTCACGATTGAGCGAATTCGTATCCCCAAGCGGCCATGTAATGTTCTGTTTATTTTATAGATACTGATGAAATTCCTACAAAAGAACCGGCGCGCGCCTGAGCGGGAAGCTCTCTTGTAATTGGCTAATCCTGTTAATTACCATGATGACACCAATATCCTCACACGTGAGCGACAAAAATAGTATCTTCACTGCGCGCGATGAAGATATAAGTTTTTATTAAAAGGAAAATTCCGGGTATTTCATCAGTATCTATATAATAAAATATAATTATTAAATAAGATTAGGGGCCCATAATAGGCTCCTGATAAAATAAATAAAGGATATTTGTTTTTTATCAATAAAATGATCATTATTATTCACAACAAGTATTCCGAAAGTCTTAAGCATAAATATCATTTTTAAAATCTTTAAAATCATAGAGGCTGGAACATAATCTTCCAAATCGTTTCATCTTTGTGCAGCAAAATATTACAGGCGGGATATATAACATAATTACGCTAAACTTTCCTAGTGTTACTCTGTTTTAAATGATATGAAGGAGTTCATATTTTTTTGCCATTGAATACGAACCATATTTATATACAATGAATAGCATCCGATCAAAAGTTGTATACAAGTTCTTCCTCTGGCATCAGCTTTAAAAAAACAATGTGAAAAAAAA